GGGAGTGGTTACCCACGAGGGAGGTGCCCACTGTCTCCCTACTAAGCCACTCCAACTTCTGGATTGCATATTCTCCAGGTGGTTCTGGCATTCAACTTAACATAATTTCCCCCCCGATGCCCTTCTCTGCCATCTGATGATGTGGCAGAGCCCTACCAACCCTTGCCCACTCTAATTTTGCTTGCACCATTTGGAACAGTTGGCCCATTCAGGCCCTTCCCTGATCTAGCTCACATGAGGCCCACAGGTGTTCCCCTCACCTATCTCAGCCTTTGTCTTCAATGCTGTGGCATAGTATCCCTGTCTCCTGTATACCAGTTATTGTAAGAGCCTGGGTTGGAATGACATGTGCTCCATCCTAATTTCTGTTCTTTTTATTTTGAGAGTTGAAATTTGTTTGGCCCTGCCCAGTCTGCCCTCTTCCAGTTGCAGCTTGGCCCATTCCACATCCTGTTTTAGGATGCTCCTTTGGGTGATACTGCCTTGGCTTGCCCAGAATGCCATTGGTTCCTTTACCCATAAGTGATGGCAGGTGCCATGGTCATTCCTAGCTTAGTCCCTTGCCACCCCAGCTTGCGAGCTAACTTGTGGGACTTGTATTTCCACAGGGTTAGGCCCACACTTCCCCCATATAGTTTACCCCTGGACCAAATTCTCTCCCATGCTGTTAAGTGTCTTGACCCTGCCAAATTTGACCAGTCCACTGTCCCACCACCCAGTCAAGTAATGGTGCCCAGCAAGACAGGCCCCCATCTATAGCTTGGTATGGACTGGTGTGTGGTAGTCAGTGATGCTCTATGCTAATAGCCCTTCTCAGGATTCCTAATTTGGCTGGTGATTCACTCTGGCTCAAATAGATCTTATGGACACTCCTCTCGAAACCATCAGGTCTTAGTCCCCACGCTTACTCGAACGTTCCAGGAACTTGAAACTTGGAATCACCCAGAATTCATCTCTTACATACACTAAAGCTGGCATTATTCATAGGAGTCCCTAAGCAGTAATTTCATATCCTCAAACCCCCAGAGCTCGCTGCTGGGCAACCAGCAGGCAGAGCCTGGCACCATTTGGTGCACTGCCCGCCTAAAGCCAAGGACTCAGTCACTGTGTTTCGGCAGTGGTCTTGGTCTGCTGAGTCCCCAGTGTCGGATCAGGCCCTCCTGGGGCGCCTCCCAGGGTTGCCACCCCATGGGGGGCTTCCAGCCACCCCCGACCCCTAGGTCCCATGCCTAATTTATTAATTAAGCTAATATAGGTATGCATGTATAGGGAAAGTGTAAGTACTGATAAGATTTGATATTTTCTGTGATTTCAGTCATATACTGGGACCTTGGAATGTTTTCCCTACAAGACAAGGAAATGAATATATGTAAAACATCTGACACAAAATCATTAGTATTCTTATAATAAAAAGGGGGATGAAATAGTTTTATGTCACTTTAAGGCTTTTCTTCACACATCTATAAGAAACAAGCATGTATTTAAAGATACTTATAATATGAAATGATGTTCATATAATACTTGTTTTTTAAAATTATATTTTGATTTTTACATAGTTGATAAGGGTGATAGGGTCAAGGGCTACAGGAAAGTGGGTGAAACCATTATTTCCGCATTCTCATTTTTCCTTCTTGTTTCTTGGAAGGGTGAAGACAAAGGGAGAAGCCACACCCAGCCTCCCAAATGCCTCTGCACCCTGGGATGGAGGGTTCTCTGCACCCAGAACCACCCCAGTGTTCCCAATGTGGGGCATGCTGAGGGTCCTGCTCATGATGATTCAATAGTTCAAAGTTCAGGATTACTGCTGATCTCACCACTCCAAGCACAATGAAACCCAGTAATCCCCCTTGGTCCCCAATCAGGCCTGTTCCCTCCACAGATCTTATGCATGCCAGTGTTTGCGCTGACCCAGCTTGGCATAAGCCCTCACTGTCTTGGTCTTTGCCTTAGATGCTGTAGCTTGGCCTAATCTGGCCTACCCCCAGGTCCAGATTCTCACTGACAGATGGAACCTGATTCTGCTCAGTCTTTCCCCATCCCTGACTCATGAAAATCAGCATGATCTGTGCTCCAGCCTGATTTCTGTTCTTGCTGGTGAGTTAAGGCTTGCTTGGCCCTGCTCAGTCTGCCCCGTTCCGTAATGAACCCACACATTAGCCACCAGTCGGAGCTACTTTACCCAACTTGCCTGACCTCCAGGCCTGAATCATGTGATCAGTGAGTTTTGACCTACCAGGGGAGTTTCCCAAGTTCCTCCACTTGACCCACTCCCAGACCCAGTTCTCATACATGCCAGCAGGTGTTAAGCCAGTGTGCAAAATAGTGTGGCCCTTCCGTCTTGGCTTTGTATGAGCTGGTGAATATTGCGACCTGGTCCATCCCACACCCTGTTTCAGGATGCACATGTGGGTGCTGCTGCCTTGACCTGACCAGACTGTTTTCAGTTCCTTTACCCATAAGTGATGGCAGGTTCCATGGTCACACCTAGCTTAGCCCATCACCACCCCAACTCTTGAATTAACCAGCAGGACTTGTATTTTCACAGGGTTAGGCCCACACATCTCCATAGAATCTACCCCTGGACCTAGTTCTCCTGTGTGCTGGTTAGTGTCATGCCCCTGCCTAATGTGACCTGTCAGCTGTTTTGACATTCATTCAGATACTGGGGTCTAATCCTGCTAGTTGGGCCCCGGCCATAACTTTCATGTGGACTGGCATGTGGTGGTCAGCAATGTTTTATGCTAACAAGCCCAATTCTGAATCCCCATGTGGGCTGGTGCATGAATATGACCCATACAGATTTTCCAGTCTCCCCCTCCAAACCACCATATCTCAGTCCCCTTGTTTACCTGCAAGTATAGTGACCCTTTCATTGAGTGTCCCTCAGGATTCATTCCTCATCTACATTTACTGTGGCCTTATCCATGGATGTCCCTAGTTGCTAATCCCAGACTCTCAAGACCCCAAATCTCACTGCTGCGCAGCCAGCGGGCAAAACCCAGGGCTGTTGGTGCTCTGACTGCCCACAAGCCCAGGATTTGACTGCCGCTTGGCAGTGGTGGATGGCGAGCTATGATCCCCAGCAGGAATCCTGGCTTGGCACAGGTTCTCCCAGCTACAGCCATTGGGCTGGGAGATTCAGACCACATGCACCTTTGAGCAGACATACCTGGACTCTGCCCCAGGTGTTTTTAAATGAGTATCAGGGCTTAGAGAGGCGCATGGTGACAACAGTGGCAGCAGCATTTACGTATAGTACTTCTTTGTGAACACAAGGAGCCACATGCTGAGGATTGCTTTGAAAATATCTGTGCAGGAAGCAGTCATGAATTCTTGATGTCTTGTTTTTTTTTCTTGCTGCCTTGTGGGAAGCTCCAGAGTACTATATATTTTGGTGTTTGTAATTAAAATCATTCCAGTGTGAACATGTAAAAACGCCACGTGTCATTTCTTTATACATCTGAGTTATAAATCACTTAACATGGAGTTTGGCTGATGTGCTGGTACTTGATGATTAGAGTGTCCCAACAGGCTTAGAAGGATTGCCTGTGAGCATACAAATAATTGATGCACTGCCTTCTTGGCTTTTGACAGCTCCAGCAGCTCCCTTTGATCAGTTGTAAGTAGAATAATAGGTTTTATTTATTACAATGTATGTAAAATGGAAAGGCTTACTATAAATTATGCTTTGAAAATATTGTCTATCATTTGCTCAGTTATGCCTTAATGAGGCATAAAGTTTAATCATTTATATTTTTAATCATTCATCCAGTGTTGCCTGAGTTTATACTGCATGCCAAAATGAGGTACTAGGGATATAGTTGTGAATAAGGCAGGAAAAGTTCTTTAATTTATCTAAGTTTGATTTCAGAAAATAGTTATAGGAAAGGCATGCACTGAGTGATGAAAGAAAGTGTGTGCACATGCATGGTGAGGAGGGGAGTGGAAATGGAGATGATTTTTTTTTTGGATTTCAGATTATTAGGAGAAGTCATAGAATGTAATAATTGAGATTAAGTCCTGATAAAATAAATGAAGGAGACTGTCCTGATGAATCTAGTTTCTCATAGTCGTTGGTGTTGAGTAGATTCAGAACTGATGTTGGGGGTGTGTGTTTGGCTTGGAGGACTCTGGTAAGGATGCTCTCATCAGACATGGGAGTCAGTGGTTCCTTACTGGCTCTGGCTCCTGCTAGTGCAAACCATAGGAGCTTGCTATGGCGTTCCTTTTATCCACATGGGAGATTTGGATTTGGTTCCTGGTTGATACTTCAGCCTGTTGGCTATTGTGGACATCTGGATAGTGAACCAATGGATGAATGGGAGCTTTTGGTTTTATTCCTGTCTTCTAAATAAATAATAAAACATTTAAAATGGCTTAAACTCAAGTGCTTTTGCTTTTGCATGATGCCACTGTTTGCTGAGTGAATTCAGACTATCACTTTTACAATCAGCCAGGTGAAAAAGACTGGCTGTGTAGCTGGAGCCATGGAGCACCCTGGTTTGGGTGTCTTTGACGGGTTGTTGGCAGGCCTCAGAAAAGGTCTGGGTGGCTAACTCACAACTTTGTGGCCATAGCCATTTACCTGTCATGGTAAGGAGACATTTAATTAAATAATGTGTCATGAATATCAGCTATGCTGGAGTATGATTTAATGGTCTAAAGAATTTTGATTAATTATTGTTATAGGACTTTTTAAATGTTTTGACTACCACACATGGCTCAGTAGAGAAAAGGAAGTTACAAATACTAGTTTACAGGGCTGTAGTCAGTTTTACAGCTTGGGTCACATCTGGAGGAGGTGACATTATCAAACTGCATGTATTCCTCCCAAGCTAACTCCTAATGTCTTTTATAGGCGGCATCACTGTCCACATCTCCCTACCAAGATTTATGATAAAACAGAGAAACCATGTCTTCTTTCCGAGTATACCGAGAATTATCCACTGTACCACTCTTACCTGCCCAGAGAGTCCTTCAAGCCCAAGCTGGAGTATCAGAAAGGGTCTGTGGCAATGGAAGGCCTGACTACATCCAGGTAAGGGAAAATGATGAGTATATGAATGTGTAACACTGAAGTAGTAGTTTTTGTGCTCATGTATACTGTTAATGGAATACTATACAGTATTAATGAACTGAAGTGTACAATATTGACACATGGCAGTAAGCCATAATGTTAACATTTCATATCTCTGAAAGAAACACTTGCACTTACTAGCCTGCTCTGTTTTTCCCAAGCCTCTTGGAGACAAAGGATTTTGGCTTGTTGGGGTGGGGATGGGGAAAGCTGAGTTAATCTATATATAAAGGGTAGAATTAGCTGAACTGATAATGGGTACAAAGGAGGGTGGATTAATACTGAGAAAGGACTTGTTGGCTGTATGTGAAAGATTTCAGGTCTGCTACTGGTGGTGGTGGTTGTCGAGGGGAACTTAGTGGTACAGAAAGTATCAGCTAAAAACAATTATGCTGTAGATTTTAAATTGGGGTCCCTTTGACTGCTTTTAAAGAAATATAAACAAAGGGTATACTGCCGTTCAAATTATTCTTATAAACTAAGATGTTCTGGATCCAGGGCTGTGCATATGCTGAGCCCTACGGCTCAGTATGTTAGTGTTTTAGAGGTGTCTGTGTTGAGGGGATGGGGTAAGTATGCAGGGAAATCTGCTACTCCTAGCTCTGCTAGTGCCCGCCAGGCAGTGATGCCTGACTGGAAATTCAGTTGAGAAGAGACATCTTTGAGTGTAATTGGACAGACTCTCAGATTTCATAGTTCCATCCCAAGGTGATACCTGGAAGATTGATGCCTTCTGTCTTTCCCATTCTTCAGCTCTGATGAGCATCATTGCTGTGAAATGGAGAGAATAGGGCATGTTATCCTGGGGCTTTCACACAGCAGGTGCCTGAGACCTGGTCACTTTTTTTCCTATTGCTCTTCTTTGCATCATAATTCGGTGCTATTCTAGCCCAGGTGAAGCAAGCAGAAGAGCTCTAATTCATTCTGTTTCTAGCCTTTTCCCAGGATAAAATTGGCAACATCTAATGTTGAGATTTTGAGTTAGCAGTGGTGCTCCTAACTACTAAAAACTGTTATCTTCTAGATACATAGGAAATCCATGTCTGGATTATGGGGCAGGATTGGGATGAATGAAGCCAAGAGCTTCCTGAACTTGGTGGGGACTACTGGATAGTGGCAGCTTGACAAAAGGAGGGGAGCCAAACCTTGTCTTCCAGTTGACTTGAATCAAACAACTTTGGTGATAATCACGTCTCTGAAATGATTTGGTTGGCACAAAATTGTAAGATATAACTGCGTTTTTTTCCTGTGACTGACTAAATATAAACTTACATTTTGGATTAATTATACCAAGAGAACAGCATCTCTACGAATCTAAAGACCACAGAAAGAGGTGCCCCAGGTATATATGTAAGAGAGATGCCATTGGCAGAGAAGGTCTTTAGTAATTTTGAGGAGTAGCATGCTATGACTGGCAGTGTGGATCTTGTTATCTCTTTGTACCCACTTTGTCTGAAATCAACAGCATTTCTTTGTGAGATGTAAAGTACAGCTGGTGTCCGATATGGTTATATTAGGGCATATTTCCCAGTCTGGAAAGGCAGAGAAGGGTGTTTTGAGGGTTGAATACTACAGGACGCTCTTTGCTGTTTAAAGCTGTTCTAGGGTAAACACTCACTGTGGGCAGGAATCCCTGCCCTGCCACCAAGATCTGAGGGTCCCCGAAATGAGCACTGCTTACTGCCCTCTAAGTTTTGTTGGAAAACAAAAACATATCCGCCCCCTCCCCCCACCAGTACTAAGTTATTGCTGCCTTCTGTCATTTATATAATTAAACATATTACCCAGAAGGTCCCTTTGCCCCCACCAGAACCAGAAAAACAATAAATATCATGTACCTCAAGATGTGGCTCAGGAATCTGCTTTCTGAGAGAATTTCCAGAATAAGCCATTAATGGTTATCAGGGCTTTGCAAAGAAGCAGCAGGATCAAGACTCTCCATGAGATAGAAGACCTTGATCTCTATTCTCCTTCATTTCCTGCCCCAGAAATAGAAGTCAGGAGGAAATGAGCAGAGAGTACTCTTCCCTAAGCACCTCAATTTCATGATTTCTAAACCCTGTATCTGTCACACTGGGCACATGTTTTCAGACTCAGAACAAAGTGATGTCACTGGGAAGGGATGGGTCAGCTCTGCGCATTCTTGCATCTGCACAGATTGTCATTCCACCTGTGGTAAGAACCAGCGTCACCACAATGATCTTCCACCTCACTTCCCTGTTAGAGGTTGGCACAAAGCTCCCACCTGCTGAACGAGAAAGTCACGTGGCCCAAGGCTTGGCTGGGTTTGGTGATTAAGCCCAGACAGGAAAAACACCTGGTTTCTGGAAAGGTTATCATCTCAGCATGAGGTATGATTACAGTTGCACACTACTCTTACTGACCATAAATCGTAGCGATTTACAGCAGATTCCATAAGGGGATTGTTTGTGATTTCCAGCCCTTCTTAGTGTGAAACTGTTTTTTGCAGCCCTTGATAATTCTCTCGCCTAGGATTTGCCATTAGTTCAGATAGATCTGAAATCTATTTATGAATAAGAGGTTTGCACTTCAAGCCTCATTTCCCCTTAGGCATGTCATCATACAAAACACTTGAGACTGCCATTTTGGACATTATTTCTGTTAGCTAACCCAGCTCTCTAAGATGGACAGGATGAATAGCCTCAAAAGAGAAGTAAGTGAGTCTTCAATAAGGCTAGACCTGTATCCTAAAGAGAAAGTGGGATCATGGGTAGAATGGGGTGAGTTTGAAAAGACAGATTTATGAAGTTGGTAGCATACACTCACTGAGAAACTTTCATGGTAGGAGAATAAGAGGAAAAAGATTTGAGAGAAAGGTCTTTTTTTTTTTTTTTTTAAGAAGGAAGCAAGAGAAGTTGGTAGTTGGTTTGAGTTGTGTCCTACTAATAGAAATTTTGACAGTTTTCCTTTTCCAAATGTATTCAACTCCCCTTCTCAGAGGATTTACTCCATGAACTGGGCCTGAGAATTGATGAAGGTATGTAGAAAAAGCTCTCACCATGGACTTGCCTGGGACATTTCAGAACCCAGATTTATCTTTGATGCTCTACATCCTTAACATTGTGGGGATTTTGGCTATTGCTTCTTCAGGTATTTTCTGTTTCTGATCTCTGTTCACAATTCCCCCATCTTTTATCCTTTTCTATTCCTCAGATTGCACGGCTTCTATTGATGTCTCTAAATTCACCGACACTTTCCTTCTATTCTGCTGTTAAGACCACCAGTGTTCTTTTTCCAGTGTTGTGCTTTTCAATTTATATTAGGTTATTTTAATATGCTTTCTCTTTAATTTCTTATACATTCATTCATTATGACTTTATTTTGCTTTTTCTTTTGAGCTGGCTTTTGAATGGCTGCTTTAAAATCCTTATCTGTTCCTTCCAGCATCTGGATCTGCTTGATGTTGGTCTACCTCATCATTCCCTCCACCCCTTGCACATGAACGTTTTCCTGTGTTTGTCAAATAATTTTGGATTGATTCTGTATATTGCCAATCTTATGTTGTAAAAATTGGATTTTTTAAAAATACTTAAGAATTTGTTTTCTAGCAGGGGCTAACTTGATTGGACTCAAAAATTGCAAAAATCTATGGTGCGGGAGGCAGCTCAAATTTAAGTTCACTGCTGTATCTTTAGGTTCGTTGCTTGAGGTTTGTTCCATGTATGTAAGATTAAGTGTAGATTTTTGACCCAATTTATACACAGAATTTGGGGCTTCTTGTCTTCAGCTCTCTCATTTCCAGTGTTTCTTTTTCACTTTCCAGCACCTGTGGTTGCCTCAGACTTGGTCCTCTGGTTCTTTACCAAGAAGGGCTCGTAAAGATTTGTCTGTTAAAGCTGCCTTTTCCTGGTACAGACTGGAGTCTGCCTTCGGGCTGAAAGCTTTGATTCTTAAGTTGTTAGTTGAAACCTGGGCAGTAAAGACTCAGTGCCATTTTCTTCTTCCACCTGTTGGCTTTCTTCCAGAACCTGCTTATTTTGGTTATTCTTTAGTATTTTCAGGTAGTTTTAAAATTTTGTCTGGAGCTTATTTGAAGTGGTAACAGATGCTAGTTTCATGAAAATTGGGAGGATAAAAGAGTAGAGGTATATGTGTGCAACCTGAATCCTGGAGGGCACGTACTTGGAAGCTGATTCATGATACTGAATATGAGGAGGGCTCCATGTAACCGAACAGGTTCAAGAGCAAGAATCAAACCTTGTGGTTCAGCTGGTGGAGGAGGCTTCCAAACATGTCTGGGATGACAGGATGGTTTCTTGAAGGGATGACTTGATCCTGGGAAATTTCAGAATCATGAGACATCTATGGAACTAATGATGGCAATGAATTGACATACGAGGATAAAACTGCCTAGAGAAGTATGATAAAGAAGAAAAATCATGAATAGTAGTATCTCAAATCAAGTAAGAGTATTAAAAATAGTAAGTGAAAGAATGGATGCCAGGAGTGGGGAGTAGTAGGGTAAGAATGAAAAAGTGTTTGAATCTGGCAGCAGGGTGGTGCTCAGGGCCCTGACTGGAGGAAGGAGTGAAGAGTCCCTGGGTAAAGCATTGGTGGGAGTTAAGGTCTGCAGGTAGATTACCTGCAGATAACTTTTCTGGAAAAGAAAAGGGAAAGAGGGAAAGAGCTAGAGAAGAATGAAGTCCGGTGAGGGTTGTACCCTCTTATTTTTTGCTTGACTGAGATCTCATAACAATTAAAGCCACTCAACTAGTATCTTCACATTGGGGCCTCAAATGACCATATCCATCCCTGGGTGCTGATGTGGTATAACAACAAGGAGTAGCACTCTATCACCACCTACCCCCAGCCCCCCATCCCAGTGGATGCTGTATCTTACCCACCATCCAAAAGCTCTCCATCTTAATCAGCATTGAAGGTCCAGATGGGTTTGTAACTTGCTCATCTTCAAAATAAATATCAAAATAAAACATGAAAAAAAAATGGGAGAAACTGGGGTCAGTTTAAATATTGACTAAAAGGAGATAGTAGAGAGAAGGAAGTAAAGCCACAGGTTAGGAGATGACCCATAGATGAAGTTCGCAGCAAACGGAGGAGTTCGAGGTAGAGGAGAAAAAATCTTCTTCAGGCAAAAGGGATGATTCTTAAACAAAATTTCCATTTTAAAATGATTAATTACTTGGACCATATGACACACATTTTGGAGTTTGTGCAAACATTAAAGTTTTTTAAAAAATATTGTATGGCCTCTTTGTTAGGGTAAAAATCTTCGTTTCCCGCTTCTAGACTCAGGAACCTAGTTAGCTCTTGTGTTATTTCCTTTTTTCCTTTTTGTCAGATTCTTGTCAAACACCTTTCTTTAAGCCTTGCTAAATGATTTGAAGTCAAGTTGTTATGATTTTCTCAGCGGGGCCACTTTAACCTTTACTTAACTTTGAGCTTAACTCTTGGCCTTCCATACTATGTAACTTTCATAGCTGTTTTCCTAAAAGCGACTTAGATCTTTGATCGGTTTTGTTTCTTGGTTCATAGTCACAGTGTGGACAGGAACTAGGAGGCCCAATATTCCTTCAAACAAAAACAACTAAAACCTAGTAATTCTGAGCAACTTCTAGAAAGCATAAAATATTTTGCTTGTATGTGGAGTTTAAGGCTGTAAAGATAATGTGTGATTGGGGACATGAAGTTTTATGTTGTGGTTAATGATAGATTTCAGTGAATGTTCTCAACACAAAAACATAGAAGAAACACATAAGTGCAGAATAAATTTACTCTTAAGCCAGAATAACTGTTTTAGGAGAAGGTATAAATGAGTTAAACTTTAGATTTAAATATTTCCCTCTGGTTAGAAGTAGATAATTTTCCTCTGTGTAATAGTTTACTCCAGTTATAGCTACCAGTAAATTCAACCATAGTTGTACATTTACAAATGAACTTGAATTTAGCACTGAGGAATATTCAGTGACAATATAATTCTGTAAATGTGTTGATTAAGGTCTTTGAAAACTATTTTCAGTCAGGGTAGTTTGTGATAAGGTGAGTTTTATAGGCATTTAACTGCTCTTTTTCTGTAAAAGCAGCAAGTTGTGGGGTACTTAGCTGCCTTAGCTGTCAGTGTCTGGCAATCCAGGTGGGAGATTATTGCAGTGTCTGGGAGGAGTTTGGTGCCTTGACTAGGAGGAGCAGCAGCAGACACCATGGTCTTTGTGCATAGGAGCCTAGCTTATGGAAGGTGTTGGTCTGGGCAATGCACCTCTGGGATTGCGAGGGCTCTGGTGGCATCCAGGTCACTGCTTGCCTTAGGTTATTTTGTGATACTGTTCGAGATAAAATGAGCTTGGGTAGGAACCACTGAATGTGGGTTTATGAAGGTTTAGGGATGTGTGGTTTCAGGTTGCCTTGAGAACCCACTCTTTCCTGGGAGTGAGGAGAGCTCCTCTTCCCTTGGGTGTGCGCCTTCCAGAACATAATCTTTCTGATAGAAAGTCAGCTTTTTACTTGCCTAGTTTTCCTAGGCATTTCCATTTGTCTCTCTAGCCTAATACCTTAATCTCTCTCATTCCCTGTTGTAATTCTGCAGAGAGACCATATAGTACTTGCTCACTAAGAAGAGTAGAAATATGGAGGGGAGACTTGGCTTCTGGTTCAGCCTATTGTTTCTAATCTCATATTATCAACTTCTAGATTCCCCAGGCCAACATCAGGTCTACTAGAAAGGGAAACTGGGTTGAAAACCCTGTCCCTGTCACTAAGATGCTTGAAAAATCTATGTAGAGGATGTTATGGGAGTTCAACTGAAGCATCTCCTAGTTTCCATTTCCTCTTTACAGCCATAGAAAAACGTATTCTCCTGCTTCTCTTGTCCCATCAAGCATTTTCAAGACCTGCTTTGGGTTTATTGACAACCATGTATATAACTCATGCAAGACAGATTACAGCAGAGCGTGTTACCCTTGCTAGTCAAGCATGGCTCAGTAATGCTGCTCCATATTTTGGCCAGGAAGTAGGTTTTATTGGTGTTTGGGTCTAATGTTTTCCTGTCCGGAAATTTTTTCCTCCCCTTGGTGGGCTATTCTGGCAAGCACTACCAGGGAAAACCTCCCTTCCCCTTGTCAACTTGGATGCATGGGTCCCAGGCAAAAGCAGTCTATTGTGTAAAGCCAAAGCACTCGGGGTAAGAGGCTAGCATGGAGAAGTGGAAAGTGGAGACTGGTGGACTGTACAAGTCCCACTGATACCCCCGTGATGCCAAGGTGGTTCCTGGTGCTGCTTAGTTGAATGACTGAGCCTTTTTAAACTTTGGAAGGGAACTACTTTCTGCTTATTGCATATAATTTTGCTTTTCTTGGAGAAATATTTAAAAGGCAGAATATTGCAGAGAGAGAGCTTCTGTTTGCTGATTTAATGCCCAAATGTTTGCAACAGCTGAAGCTGGGAGTAGGTGACTGCACATGCTCTGGACAGGACAGGCACCTGTACACATGGGCCATCAACTGTTGCCTCCCAGGTATACTAATGGGGAGCTGGATCAGAAGTATGGAGTAGCTAAGACTTGAGTCAGCCAATCAATGTGAGTGTAGGTCCCAAGTGGCAGGTTAATTTGCTGAGCCAAATCCCTGCCTCAGAAGGATTTTTTTTTGATTTTGTTGTTTTTAGACTCCATGAGATAATGGGGAACACTGGCAATCCTATAGCAAAGAAGTCAAATATCTAGGACCTTCATTTGTTGTAACTTTTTCCCCTGCTACATTTTTTGGTAATGTACAGTAGATGAAGGAGATAGACATTAGTAGAAGCTATGAGAAACACAGAAAAAGAGGTAGTAGTACCTGAAAAACTGAAATTAATGCTATAGTGAAAATGTGGAATAGAAGAAAAGAGAGGGGCCATTTCAGAAAGTAGTACTTGGGGCTTCCTGAATTGTGGCATATCAGGTAAAGCCACAGTCCACAGAGCCATCATCCCATAAGGGCACTGGTTCCTGTCTAGGTTGTTCCACTTGTGACCCAGCTCCCTGCTAATGGCTTGAAAAAGCAGAGGAAGATGGGCCCACATGGGATAGCTGGAAGAAGCTCCTGACTGCTAGCTTTGGCTTGGGCCAGCCCTGGCCATTACATCCATATTGGATGTAAACCAGCTACTAGAAGAGTCTTGTTCATTCATTCTCATGTCTCTCTTTCCCTCTGCCCTGCCCCCAACTTTTAAATAAATATTTAAAGAAAGCAGTGCATTGTGATTGGAGTGCAATATGGATGAGTGAGGTTAGAGTGGTAGGAGATAAAGGTGAGCAGTAAGGTTGGGGCCAAATCTAGGAAAGTTAATAAATCATTCTGGAAAATTACAATTTATTTGAAAGATTAGTAAACTGGGGACAAAAAGCAAGTTTTCATTTCAATAGGTTAGCCATACTGTGAGGTTTGAAATCAAAGTGGTGAGAAAGAAAGCAAGAAACTGGTGGGGGTAGGCTTCCACATGATTTAGGACTTGATCTAAAGAAGAGAGAAAAACCCCTAAGGTGGGGGGAGCACACCTGCTGAATGAATGACAGACTCCTGGATGTGAGCGAGAGGTTTCCAGGATGGTGTCCAAAAGTCTGACTTGGTGAGAAGAAAGAGCAGTTTGGGGGAGGGGAGTGCAGAGAAGAAGATGGCTTCTCAGCAAATGTTGGTAGAATTGCATTGGATGGAAACACAAACCTCATTCTAAGCCAAGGACTCCAACGGCATGTGCTTGTTTTCCTTCCAGAAGAGACTTTGTGCCTCACAAGGTGGTACCAGTGAAGGTCCACCAGCCTGACCAGTTCATTCCCAGTGAAGAGAATATGGATTTGCTCACAACGTACAAGCAAGATTACAACCCCTACCCTGTCTGTCGAGTGGACCCCATTAAGCCTCGGGATAGTAAATATCCATGTGGTGACAAGATGGAGTGTCTGCCTACTTATAAAGGTGGGAGAGTGCTTGAGGGGCTGGCTGGGGGAAGGATGGCTGAGCCAATAAGATCAGGAAGTATGTTTTACATGTGCCCTTCCTTGGTGTAAAGGTCAGCACACTGTTTTGTGAAAGCCAAATCTAGCTCTTGTGTGGCTCAAGATAAAGAATGTTTCTAAGATGTTGAAATGTTTACATATATAATGTATAATTTCAGGATGTATGAAAATTATGTGGAAATCAAATTTTAGTGTTTACAAGTACATTTTGTTGGAATACAGCCTTATTTTGTCACCTATGGCAAAACTGCATGGTTTGGCAAATACCCTAAAGTGTTGAAGATCAAGTATACTTAATATCTGTTCTTTTACAAAAGTGTTTTCCTTCCCTTGCCTTAGTTGACAGAACTGTACACATTGGGGTAACCTTTTAAGTTTTAGGCCAGTTAGATTATACTATTAATTCAGTGAATGATTCATGCATTCACTTAAAACAATATTGAAATGTAACATATGGGAAAAGTGCACAAATAATGATACAAAGGCAGAGTTTTCATTAAATACACCCTTACAGACGTCACTCAGATTAAAAAAAATGCAATATCAATTGCTCCTTAACAACCCTTCCTAACTGGAATGTAATTATCATGTTGATTTTTAGTTTTTCCGATTTTATACTTCATTTTCATGGAGTTGATTCACTTTAAGAAATACTTCTATTTCTTAATGTCCATTCTGTTTGTGTATTATAATGTGATATTTTCATCCATGTTTGCATTAAGTTATTTTCAAATCATGGCAGATATTTTCCTTAAATTTTGACATTGCTTTGTGATGATACATTCAAAATCTGTTCAAGATTTATAAAAAGCACATAATACTTTTTAAATGATGATGTGTTAGATACCAGGCACATGCCTAGGAACTGTGAAGGAGGCAAAGTGACCTGTCCTGAATCCTCTAGTCTAGCGGGAGAAGAGATAAGCAGGAGAGTCTTATGATTGAACTTTCAGTGTAGCAGCAGCTATACCAGGGAGCCTGGCTCCAAGATGATGACGATAGAATGAAAGCCAGAGTTGTCAACTGTAATGCCTACATTTATGCTGTATACTGCTGCCCTAGGAAGACAAGGTTCAGTAGTTAGTTTATGTGAAACAGCTGTGGACCTATGATCTTGGTGCAGGCCTCTCTGAGGGTTATGTTTATTTAGTCAAGTCGAGCAATGACTTTAAGAAGGTAGATGGCAGTGCAGGTGTCGGGAAGACTGGCAGAATATGAGAATTTTGCTCAACGGAGATGGAGTTTAAGCCTACCATTACTGGCACATATTTGAGACCTGGGGCCATACTTGCCTGGACCCCTACAATATTCTCCACTCTGGTCTTCTACTTTCTTATTCACTGTATGCTGCTCTCCTGCTCTTCCCTAGCTGCCTTCTGGAAAACCACCTCTGGACAGTATAGCCTGAAATGATCCCACCTATGAAGATTTTGTCAACCCCAGCATCCTGTCCTTCTAACTTATTTCCTAATCTGCATTTCTTCTAATAGTCCTCGGCTTCATTGGGTTCTCTACTCCACTGATGGTTCAACCATTCCTCTTGCACCAACCCGTCCTATGCCTGTCCTTCCCATGTAGACTATCTCTCATCAATGCCCTAAACTTGTTCTACCTTCTGATGCTTCCACTTGGTGAAGACCTAGTCCTGCCTTGTTCATGCCTGCTCCCTGGCATAAACCTGAGTGTATCTGCAATCTTATCAACTAATCTCTTCTGATTTCTTCTCTGCTTCAAATCCTTTAAATGATCATTATTGTTCTTAGGATCAAATCCCACTGCTTGGCTGACTTCTGGAGCCTTGTAAGGTTCTGATTTCCCCTTCCTGAGCTCCTTGCTGCAGCCTGAAAACCTCCATTCAATTCCCTTCATCCAAGTCTCTTCTGCCTCAGAACTGTTGGCAAGAGGAGTTCGTCCAGGATAGATCCCTCCTGTTTCCTGTGTGGCACTTATCCTTTATCTAGCAGCCGAAACCGCACATCCCCAGCAGCAGCCTTGGATCTCCCCCAAGGCTAGATTAGGTGCTCTATGGACACCTTGGGCTCTTGTCTGTCCTTGTTGTCATTGACAATTTGTTTTCCTTAAAGTGTACCCCAAAGGCTCAGCATCTGTGCTTGACCACAATTAATACAGAGAATGGCATCTGAAAGTCATGTCAAGGGAAGGAATAAATGAATTGATTATGAACAACTTTATAAAAGTGCTCCAGGTTACAGAATTTAATAGATCTACACAACTATCCAGCCAGTTATTCCATGGATTCTGGTTCCAGGAGCGAGAGTGAAGTTTAAGGTAGGTCTTTAAAATTTTTAAGAAAGACTTGTTTGAAAGTTACGAAGAACAGAGAAAGATGTTCCATCTTTTGGAGGTTCACTCTCCAAATTGGCCACTGTGGCTGGAGCTGAGCCAGTGTGAAACCAGAAGATACACACTTCTTTCAAGTTTCCCATATGTGTTCAGGGGCCCAAGGACTTGAGCCATCCTACCTGCTTTCCTAGTCTGTAAGCAGGGAACTGGATCAGAAGTGGAGCAGCTGGATCATGAACTGGTGCCGCTATGGGATGTTAGCACTGTAGGAGGATTAGCCTGTTGGACCACCTCACCTGCTCCAGTCCTTGATAGTTATCCTCCTCTTGGGTTAGTCATGAAAATCTTGTGCTCGTGGTAGGGGTACATCATGGCTTAATGTCCTGGAGTGTCTCTCTTGAAAGACTGATTTAACTCCTGTGAATTGTATTGTGGCCTTATATTGATTCTCTTTCCAAATGGAAAAAAAAAATAACCCTACAGGTCAAGATAATTAAATATATATATTTCAGTGGATGCCATGTATAGTTTGTCTGTATGCTTGTTTATACTGGTTCTATGAGAAAAATGTTCACTTTTCCCTTTTCACTCTTATGGTCGACACCTTTACTAGGATCCAAAAAAAAAAAATCACCAATAAAATATGCTTCAGCAGCATTTGGTTGTAATTTGTGACATTTTCAAAACACTGTGCAATTGGAAAGATTGAGAGTGTAATTACTTGATGCTCAGCTTTAGGTTTAGCTAATTTTTTTAAAAGACATTATTGAATGGAATCTCTTTTAAAGACGTCTTGCCAATTACACACATGACACTCTGGCCCTGAAGGGCTTTACTGGTGTGTGAATAGTTTGTCATGTGGAATTCTGAGGTTTTTCAGAGTCTTGTGGAGATTTTTGGGTAATAAATGCTGGGTGGAGGAAGTCAGGAGGCTGGATAATGTGGTTTCAACTATATTGTTGGGTATCAGAAATCACATGAGGTAACTTTGAGCTTAGGAATCTGTTTTCTTAGCACTTCATCCATCACGGACGAAGGCCAGAAAAGTGCTGTGCAGCCACCCCATGTCCCTGCAGGCAGTGTGTAGGCATGGACAGGTGGATGCCCCACTGCAGTGGGGCCCAAAGTCCGAGGGGAAACATGTGGTTTATATTCAGCAAGATGGTTCCCTCTAAGGCCTCCTAATGCTTTCAAGATGCTGATAGAGCCATTAATAGCCCTTGGAGAAAGATTAGATTTTCAATTAAAATGAAGCCAATTTTGAATAAATAGTCGGTGGTATTATTGGCCTAAAATAAACTTCAGAGTGTGCCTGGAGGTGGGGGTGTATGTGGAGATGTCAGGATTTCTGGAGTGATAGAATAAGAGGCTTGGCAATTTCTCTTCCCAAAAGTGCAATGATAAAACTGGACAGAATGGTAAAAATCAAGTATTTCAAAACTTGAAATTAACCAGAGGCATATGACAAATTGAGAAGCATTTGGTTGAGAAAAACTACTGAAATTCAGTTGTGAACAGTGAGTCTGGTGTTGTATGCTGTGGCTGCGTCCATCATCACCCTTGTCCCCATTTTCATCTGTGTGGTGGTTCTTCCTGGGCAGTCTTGGCCCTGAAAATAAGCAGCTTTGAGGGCTGTTTGATTTGACTTGATTTGGAATAAATTATATACCTGTGGTTTTGATAAGAAAACAGTAGTGATCTCAATGGAACAAAATCAGGGAAGACAACTTCTGTAAGTGGATTGAGGTTGCAGTCCTAGACTGGTTGTGGCAAACAAAAAGATAAGTAGAATAGCTGAAGTTTAAACTTGCTCCACATCAGGGGACCCTGGGATGACACTGGGTGGCCTCCCCCCATTTCTGGGCACTGATACAGTTGGGTTTCTGGGAGTGGCCCCTCTGCACTTTCCCCAGATACTAGAAGAAAAAAGGAGATTGGAGGCCACTTTCCCCCTTTCCTCGATCCTTTCCACCCTAATTGGTGGTCCACATGGGCATGTATCTCTCTCAACTATGTAAACATCATCAACAATTAAAATGATTTCTTTTTAAAAAAAGAATAGCTGAGGTTTAAAAGGAAGATCAAAATAATACAAATGAAGTGCGCTTTGGACAGGCCATACGTGTTCTGTGGGGTCTAAGACTGTATATGGGCCAGGTGGCACAGGCTCGAGGCTTCAGAGAAGAGTCTGTCAACTCATCATCACCCCTGGCCTATGCAGAGTGGAGATGGGAGAAATCTGGACAGAAAATAAAGGCATTTCTAGGCTTGGAAACTGCCCGATCTTTGACTATATTTGTGAATCTGTGTGCTGACCCATTGGTAAAGTGTGGAAAGTCAGACTGACTTGAGTGTACGGGCATTAAAAAATTCCGTATCATTTTTTTTGGGAAAGATTTACATATTCAAAAGGCAAATTAAAGATAGTGAGTTCCCATATACTGGATTCACTCCCAAATGGCTGCTCTGTCTGGATCTGGGCCAATCTGAAGCCAGGAACCAAGAGCTTCTTTCAGGTTTCCCTTGTGGGATGCCAGCACCATACCTGGCAGCTTTATTTACCAAGCTGTGATGTGGGTACCAACTTTTTTTTTAAAGAGATTTATTTGTAAGGTGGAGTTACAATGCTCTTTCTTTCCAAATGGACACAATGGCTAGGACTGGGCCAGTCCTAAACCAGGGGCAAGGAACTGCATGCAAGTCCTCTACGTGGGTGACAGAGACCTAGGTACTTGATTGGAAGTGGCTTGACTTGATGCATCATCGACAGTGTTGGGCCCCTTACATTATTCTTTATGTGGAGGCTACATGCCTTCCCTTGAAGATTGAGAACAGGGCTGGAATGCCAGGTCTGCCCACTTTGATTCAACATTGTATTGGTAGTTATGACAAGTTCAATAATACAAGAAAAATGGACAAGTACATATAGGTTAGAAAGGAGGAGGTGAAGTGGTCCTTATTCTCAAAAGATGTAACGCTGCATGCAGATAATCCTGAAGGAATCTTTGAAAATGACTGGAACAGGGTCCGGTGGTGTGGCCTAGTGGCTAAAGTCCTCGCCTTGAACATGCTGGGATCCCATATGGGCGCTGGTTTTAATCCCGGCAGCTCCACTTGCCATCCAGCTCACTGCTTGTGGCATGGGAAAGCAGTTGAGGATGGTCCAAAGCTTTGGGACCCTGCACCCATGTGGGAGACCCGAAAGAGGTTCCTGGTTCCCAGCTTCGGTTTGGCTTCGGATTGGCGTCACTTGGGGAGTGAATCATTGGACGGAAGATCTTCCCCTCTATCTCCTCCTTCTCTCTGTATATCTGACTTTGTAATAAAAATAAATTAATTAAAAAAAAAGAATTACTGGAACTGAGTTTAACAAGGCATCACTATTGAAAAATAATATGTAACAATTATATTTGTATATACTGGGTTGGCAGTACAAGCTCCCAGCCCCCTGACCTGAAGATGAAGAAAACACTTGAAATTAATAAATGCAAGAGACAGGAATAAAAACAATTATCATGAAGCATTCTGTGTTCACACATTAGATGATTCAATATTGTTAAGGTGGAATTGCTTTCAGATTGATTCACAGACTTGATGAAACTTCTTAAAGTGTCCAGATGATCCTAAATCTTATATTTGCAAGTCAGGTCAATCAGAATGCTGTTTTTTTTTCCTGAAAAATAAAAGTTGAACTTCTAGATTTTCAAAGCTTAAATCTGTAGTATTAAGACATTGTGACACTGACTTAAAGGACAATATAACTGAATTGAAAGTAATGAAATAAGCCATTGTGTTTATTGTCAACTGACTTTTCCAAAGGTGCCTAAGCTCATCTTGTGAAAGAAGATGATCTTTCCAATAAATGGTGCTGGGACAGTTGGATCTCCACATGGTAAAAAAATGAGCTTAGATGTTTGCCTCAAACTCCATTCAAAGATTAAGAGAGACCTCAATGTAATAGCTGAAACTATAAAACTTCTAGAAAAATACAGAAAATATATTAATTTGGATTAGGCATAGATCTCTTAGACATGATCTTAAAAGCATAATTTCTAAAAAGATTATAAAATTGACTTTTTAAAATGTGTAGCTTCTGTGCTTTAAAAGACACCATCCAGTAAAAATAAGTGTTTGTGTTTGGAAAAAATATATCACATCTCATAGCGGATTTGTATTCAGGATGTGCAATGTACTCTTTAATTTGAAGACAACCTAGTTTAGAAATGAGAGAAGAGGTGTTTGATGTAGAAGTTTAGACACCAATTAATGATGCTTATGTCCCATATCTGAGCACCTTGGTCTGATGCCCTGCTCTGGCTACTAAAGTCAGCTCCTTGAAGTCAGTGGTGATGGCTCATGGAATCAGTTCCTGCCACTCATGGTGCAGATGTGGATTGAATTTCCAGTTCAAGCCCTAGCCAGTGTGGGTATTTGGAGAGTAAACACACAGATGAGAGCTCACTTTCCACCTTTCAAGTAAAGAAAAATTTAAATGTGGGCAAAATATTTAGACATGTTACTGAAGAAGACATATGAAGATCAACTAAGCTCATGCAGAGATACTCAACCTTATTAGTCACTAGGGAAAAGTAAATTATACTACCACGAGATAACACTAAATATCCACTAGAATGTCAGTAATGATAATTATACAGAAAATGTTTTGGCAAGGGACATGGAAAATGAGCATATTCATACATGGCTGGTAAGTATGTAAAATGGCACATTTACTTTTCTACTTGGAAAGGTTTGACAGGATCTTAAAAAGATACACAGGTTTACTATACACCTAGTAATTCCCTTCTTGGTCTCTATCCAAGTGGAATGAAATGTATTCACAGAATTCCACACAAATGTTTGTGCAGAATATTTTCACAATCAAAGTACAGAAGCCACATGTCCATCAATTTGTGGATAGTCAAAATTTGGACTATTTGTGAAATATACTATTAAAGAGAGACCTGCTGATATGTGTTTTCATGTGACTTAAACCTAGTTGCTTTATGCTAACTGAAATAAGCCATAGTCAAAACACAATTTCTGTGGTTCCATTTATATGAAATGCTCAAAAAAGAGTATGGTTATTGAGACTAAGAACAAATGATTGGACTGTGTGTGGGCAAAGACTGACTTCAGGTGGGGGTAATTGATGCTTTTGACCATGCAAAGGTCATTTAACTGAATTTCAGTGCTGGTTACACATCTATGAATCACTGAATTGCATATTAAAGGTGTTACATTTCATGTTATGCAAATTTTCCCTTAAATTTATTAGAAAGTGTACAATCTGTGGTCCAGGAGTGCTGAGATCTCCCGAGGATCTTGGGAAGCTGTTTTTGTTCTCCTAAAGCAGTAAACAAGAGAACTTCCAAAGTGTGCAAGGGTTCACAAGGCTCCTTTAGCTCTGGTAATTTATAGGCACAGAGGGGCAATATAGGTCTTGGCTGCAAGCCAAGTATTATGAGAAGAGTAACAGCAGTGTCAAGGTAGTTGAATCACATTGTTTGTTGTCTCATTTTTCTCACATGGACTTTTAATCTTGGAGTTCCCTTGAGGTTGTGTGTGGCAGAGTCACTTTGGAAACTCCTGCAATGTGGCCTGAGAGTAGTGCTCCTTATGGTGTGTGTGTGGTAGCTCCATTGCCCAGATCTACCTTATTTTGACAATTCCAGCCTCAGGGTACGAGCTGTTCTTGAGCTAGGCATCTCCCAGACATATCTGGCTTATCCTTCTAATTCTTAAATATTTTGAAAATTTTATCCTCTTGCACATAATTCTCTGGTTACTTTATTTAACCTTTACTCCAGGCATACAGTGTTCCTAAATTATGTTTGGTGGAAGAGGTACACTATGTGGCTTAAATCCCAACTTAGTAGCTAAGTAACCATGTGATTTTTGAGGTTAGTTTCATGGCTTCTGGTTTTGTTTTCGGAAATCATTTGTTTCACAAACCTTAAAGATGAAAGAGCATATATAGCTACAGTGCCATGATAAATTTAAGTAGAACAATGTTGGACTTAAGACTGTTGCTGAAAGACTATACTATTGTAATAATATAGGAGGAAATAGTGGGGGGGGGGAGGAGAAGAGGGAATCTATTTCTGCAAAACTGCATCATATAAAAGTCTTGTGCCCAAGTGACTAGCACATAATCGGAGTTCTTTGTCAAAGCCCGATTGAAGAGGGGTCAGATCATGAACTCCAGGTTTGAATTTCAATCTGTTCTTTTCTACTCACTGAGACTGACCTGGGAACTGGTTCTTAATTTCTCTGTGCCCTTTCCCCTGTATTTTTGAAATAAGCATTTACTAGTGTTGTCTGAAGAGTAAAGGAGTTAAAAGATAAAGAACTTAAAATACTGTCCAAGGCCTGTATGGTGGTATAGCAAGCTAGTCCCTCATGTGCCACACTGGCATCCTGTATGGGCACCAGTTTGAGTCCTAGTTACTTCACTTCTGATCCAGCTTGCTGCTTATGGCCTGGGGAAGCAACAGAAAATGGCTCAAGGCCTTGTGCCCTGCACTAGGGTGGAGACCCAAGAGAAGCTCCTGGTTCCCAGTTTTAGATCAGCTCGACTCTGGCATTTGTGGCCATTTGGGAATAAACCAGTGAATGGAAAATCAATCTCTCTATTACTTTTGTAAGTTAAACAATTCTTAAAAACAAACCCAACACTGTTTGTTGTACAATGATATCAATAGAAATGGCAATTGCTTCTATTTCTCTCACCAGCCAAGACAATGCCCTCATTCCCTTGGAGTACCATACTCGATTCATGTGGAATGGATGTGAAGTTTTATAGGTACCCAAGGGTTGTAACCCTAAAGCTGACCAAATAGGCCTGATTGGTGTATCTGGTGACCCCTTAGTGGTAGCTTGTAAGTTTCATATCTCTACGCCATGTGGATCTAGTTACTTGTCTAGTGGTGATTCAACCAGGGCACTACTTCATGGAGGAGAGGAACTCTTGGTTAGTGGTTGGGATTCTGTGCTTTAAAGGTTCCTTGGATCCTCTCATGACCACAGACCCTCTAAGATTCATGTACACATCCCACATTATGGGATGTGATGAAAATGTTTTCTCAGTAGCCTGTGAAGTTGCACTGAAACATAAGCCTCTTGAAGGTAGCGACAGGAAGGATCTACTGTGTTCCTTTGTCTGTCTCATGAGTGCCTGGGTTATACCTCTGGAGCCCTTTGGATGGTGTAGCCATTGAGTCGTCTGATATTAATGACCCCTCTTGCTTTAATTTTAGCGGATTACTTAGCTTGGAACCAACCCAGACGAGAGCCACTTCGTCCAGAACATAACTACCGGCCGTCATCAACCAAGTTTGATAGCAGAACTACACACCAGGATGACTACCCCATAAAGGGCCTTGTGAACACCGTGAGCTGTAAGCCTGCAGCCATGCCGAAGCTATGCAACATCCCCTTGGAGGATCTGACCAACTACAAAATGAGCTACGTGGCCCATCCTATGGAGAAGCGCTTTGTACATGAGACAGAGAAGTTCAAACCCTGTGACATCCCCTTTGAGAGCCTCACCACCCATAAAGAGTCCTACAGGGGCCTGATGGGGGAACCTGCCAAGAGTCTGAAACCCCCAGCGAGACCCTCTGGTATAGATGCACCCTTTTGTAACACCACTGAATTCAGAGATAAGTACCAAGCTTGGCCGACGCCCCACATATTGGCCAAAGCACCCCCAGCCTATGTCCCTCCTGAAGAGAGGATGGATCTTCTGACAACAGTGCAAGCCCATTACACATATCCCAAGGGTGCCCCCGCTCAGTCCTGCAAACCAGTGCCCCCAATTAAAAAGAGTGGCCGTTTCCAAAGCTCCACTACCACCAAGGACGACTACAAGCAGTGGGCTGGCGTGCGCACAGAGCCAGTCAAGCCTATCCTCCAGACGCACTTTCCCAATGAGCCCTTGGACTGCCTGACCACCACCCGGGCTCACTATGTGCCTCACCCTCCAGCCAATACCAAAAGCTGTAAGCCCCTCTGGTCTGGCCCTCGGAGCAATATCCCTGTGGAGGGTCAGACCACTTATGCCATCAGCTTTACTCCCAAGGAAATGGGCAGATGCCCAGCTTCATTCCCTGAGCCCCCTGGCTACATTTTTGAGGAAGTGGATCCTCTGGGGCACAAGATATATAGGCCAATTTCCCAGACAGTGTCTCGGCGGAGCAGTTGTCTTTCCGTAGGTGATCCGGAAAACCCCAACCAGCCAGAGTTGGCAATGTCAGCCTGATTTTGAAAATTGTTATTTAGAAATTGCACAGTACTTTTAAAAGCAGATGGTTGAGAATTATTGGTTGGAAAAAAAGGAATTACAGAAAATGAAAAAAAATAGCTAACATCACTGTTTCCAGGACACTTAAATAAAAATGAGAATCACTTGACTTAAAGCAAATGACACTGAATCACTAATTAACTTCCCACTCTTTCTGCTGTCTTGTGCCCTCACCCTCTGAGATTCTTTACCTCATCCTCGCGGAATCAAAGCTGGATCTCTGAGGTTTTCTCTGATCCAGATGTATTTTATTGATTTAATCATTGTATGAACTGACATGATTAACCCTTACCCAGTATATAGTGCCAAAGAATAAATTTTACTTTGGGGGATTGAATCTATGTGTTCACCTTTCTGCACTGTGTTGGTAGACAGTGATTTGGGTAGTTTCGGGCCTTTGCGGGTGATTTTATTCTGAAGTGTCTGTTGCATCCTTAGTGCTGGTGTGGGTGCTTTGGGCTCCTTGTATAGTTGCGTTCTGGCTTGTGTGTGCCCAGGGATGCTCCATAGAACCACCTCACAGGCTTTCCCTGTGTGACAAGTGTGCTGTCAGATGGAGTGAAGGCCTTTGGAGTTATAGGTGATGGAGATGGGAAAAAGGATCCCTATGAACATTTGAGAGATGCATGGTACTGGCACCCTCTTCCTAATCCAAAACCACTGCGGAAATTGACTCCAGTCTAAGAATTGGGGGAAAAGTGGTCATTGATAATCAGGCAGATTACAGCAGCCCCTGGGCTGCACATGCTCTTAAATGCTTTGTCAAAGGATTGGTTGTCCTGGGCTAGGCTGATTTCAGGCTTGGCTGGCTTGTCAAAGGAACAGAGCTGAGACCAGATTGGGACAAAGTTTTTTTTTTATTGGGACAAAGATTTATTTTATTTTTATTGGACAGTCAGATATATGGAGAGGAAGAGAGGCAAAGGAAGATCTTCCTTCTGATAATTCACTCCCCAAGTGACCTCAGTGGCTGGTGCTGCGCCGATCTGAAGCCAGGAATCAGGAACCTTCTCCAGGTCTCCCGTGTGTGTGCATGAACCCAAGGCTTTGGGCTATCCTCAACTGCTTTCCCAGGCCACAAGCTGGGAGCTGGATGGGAAGTGAGGCTGCTGGGATTACAACTGGCGCCCACATGGGATCCTGGTGCATTCAAGGAGAGGACTTTAGCTGCTAAGCCACTGTGCTGAGCCTGGGACAAAGTATGTCAGCGGCAACCCTAGCATCCTGCCTTGAGAGTTTTTCTCTTGGACCTATGGCTTTACCAAGCTTGATTCTAAGGCCAAATAATTTGGCGATATCCTTTTATTTGGTCAGAAATCAGGACTGATTTTGGAGAAGGTCCTTGGTGGGGTTAGCTAGGATCTCAGGTTTGGGTGAGCTGGATACAGACTGAGTGCTTGTATGCTCCTGTGTCACAGACCACAGGGTACTAAAAAGTATGCTGTTCCTGGAAATTTTGAGGCAATGTGCAGTTGGTCTGAGAGTTCGGCTCTAGTCTAAGGACTTGGGCTTAGACTCGTGGCCTGGTTTCTGGGTGAGTAACTTGGGTCTTTACACTCACCTAGGACTTTGATTTCATAGGCCTCACCTCTTGCTAAGAGCTCACCATGATCTTATTCTGTATTGCTGAGTTGAGATGTACATCACTGACTCATTGCTTGTGTGGGTTCTAGGCACCTGTCCTTGCAGGATAAGGAGGCCCAAGGCAGTTAAGCACTTTTCCCGAGGTCAAGAAGCTCAGCACCAATATTGGACCCTGAATCTTTTGCCTCCAAATCCACTGCTTTTCCCACAAACTGGTGCCCCTCCCCTTTTTTGTTATATCTCTCCTGGTGCCATAAAACACATCAATCTACCTTCTGTCTGAGCTTACTGGAGCAAGTAGGGTAGGCTTTAATCTTTAATATTTTAGCTTCATCTTTTTTTCACAAACCCAAGAAATATTGACACTTGATTTGAAAGGTCAAATAGTGCTAAAATGCTTAGAAAAATATAGAAATCTCATGCCCCTGTCTTTCATCCTTTTCCCATGATTACTTCCCTGGAGACAGTAATTTTAAATTGTCAGTTTCTGCTAATATTTTTCTTCACGTTTCAAAAAAAAAGTAGATTCTGGTGTTTCTGAGTTTTAGACATCTGTTTTGATGGGTTGCTTTCAGTTTTTGTGTATTACCCTGTTTCCCTTCTTTTCAGTACAGTTAAATGGTCGTGTTTGGTAACATCAATATTAATAAGCTTTGCTGATGTTTCTGAGTGCTCAAAAGGGAAGAAGCTGAAGATGATGGTGATGAAGCCGCATTGAGTTCCTTTGAAGAACTTCTCTGAGCCCTATATTTAGGTAAAGACCTGACGGCCACTCCTGGCGACCCCGACTGGATTGGGTCATCCTAGGACATCTCTGCCTTAACTACTTCTCCAGGTCTTCAGAAAGGAAGCAGAATTCACACAAATCAATCTCTTCCTGACCTGACAGCTGTGCATCCCCCACCTGAATATATCTCCATCTCTGGCTGCAGGTTACTCTACACTGCTCCAAGCTAGTAGGAAGTAAGCAGCATCTGCACCCTAATTGTGAAAGACTCTTACTCCTGGTTCACATGTGCTCTTCCTGTGGTGGTGGCAGTGAGCGGCAGTGAACTTGCAGTTTAGCAAAAGCACATAGTACCTGTTTAGAACATATAATGGGGGCAAATTGAGAGATCACATGCCAAGGGATAGAGCTCAAACATGGCAAGGTACAGTTCAAAGTGCCACATGCTAATTGGGGAGCCACCATGATTGCTTACTTGCTACAGATCTGCTAGCTTGCCTCATGGAGACAGTTGGTAGGACCTCTTCCCACTTGATGGGCTCCTTTGCGTTTTTGCATAAGCCCTAATGTACTTTGTCTAGACTGCACATTGGCCTGTAGTCAATGTCTATTCTAAGGGAATCGCAGAACCTAGGGTTGGTATCAGAACCAAATCTTCCTTAAAAGTTATCCCCCCTTTTTTCATTCTCAAATCAAAATATCCTTACAATTATGAAAGTGGTTAGTGTAAGTAAAGGGACTCAGAAAATATATAAAGGTGAGCACAAGTAGCTGCTATGGGTACTCTGGAATCAGATGGTTAAAGCATGCAAGGTGTTTGGAGTCCATGATGTCTGGTCTTGCTATCCTCTCTCTTACTATATTAACTATTAACAATGAAGCCTTGGTCAAATTTGTTTCATTTAAGAATGTAGGTAATAGAAATACTGGCCTCATAGTTCTTTTGTTTGCATTGAATGACAGAATGTATGTGACTATCTTATCCATGGCTTACAGAGAACTCTGATTAAATGCAGGTAACAATGAGGAGAATATTTGCTGAATTCTGACTGGCTGAGTTTATGATGATTCCCTCCATTAGTGTTTACAAGTGTGCAGGTAAGGATAACTGCCCATGTTGTTTATCTTTTTTCTTCATATTTTTTTCTTTATTTTTGACATTCTTTAAATAATTAGGGCACAAACTGTTCAAGGGCTACAAGAAAGTGGGTTAGACTATTATTTCCACATTGTTTTTGTCATGTTTCTGGGGCAAAGGGGGAGATAAAGGCAGAAGCCCAACCCAGTCTCCCACCCACCCCAAGTCCCCGATGTAGGGCATGCTCCAAGGGTCTTGCTCAAGTGGATTTGATAGTTCAACAGTACTGAAATGCTGCCAGTCTCGCCATTCCAAGCATGATGAGGTCACTGAAGAATCCACTGATTGACATAGTCCATCTTAGAATCTCTGTTTGCCCAGTTTTTTACTGCCAATATATGGCTGGGGTAGTTGACTGACTTGCTCTATTCTCTCTTTTTTTCATGGTTAGGGTTCTGAGTCTGGCAGTTCAATTGGGGAGATCCCCAAAGAAACTTTGCCTGAGGTGATCCAAGACCAGATTCTTGTGTGTACTAGCAAGTACAGGGTCCGGTACAATCCATTGCCCCATTCAGCTGGTGGTTGCAATTGCTGGGTAGGTTCTGTTTCCAGCCCTGTCTTCTACTGGAACCAATGGGTATTGCAGTCCAGCCTGATTCTGCCCACCACACACTCAGTCCTCACATAAACCAGTGGGAGCTGCAGCCTAGTTGGGGCAACCCACAATAACCCCCACCAGCCTGGCCCCTGCCCTGGTTTGCCAGTGTGTGCAGCAGACTAATCCAGTCTGTCCCTCATCCCATTCAGCTCTCATACATGTCCATGGACGTTGAAGCCTAGTTCAACTTAAGCAGCCTGACTATTCAGTCTTCACGGTTGTAGTTGGGTGCCTCTCTGTCTAGCCACACCATCCCTTGTCCTAGTTTTGTTGCCTTCCAATGTGATTGGTAACCTAAGAGGGAGGAGCCCACTATTTCCCTCCCAGGCTACTCCCACTCCCGGATTATGCACTCTCCAGGTGAAATTTGACTTGACAGGACTAGCCCCCAGTGCCAGCTTCTGCCAGCTGATGCTGCGGCTAAGCTCAACCAACTCTCACCCATTTAAATTGTAGTTTGCACCAGCAGGAACCATCACCCCAGCCTGGCGTTTCCCTGATCTAGTACACATGAGGCCCACAGGTATTGTAGCCCTGCCTAGTCAGGTCTGCCCCCATCCCAGCTCATGCTGTCCAGTGGGAGTGGTTGTCCAGTAGGGGGGTCCCCCACATTCCCCCTGCTGGCTCTACCCCATCCCTCTCTGGTTCTCATATGTGTTGGTTGGGTGCTGCGGTCACATCTGGTACAGATCACTTCACCTTGGCATTCTGTAATGTACATTGTCTTTTGTTGTGACTGAACCTGGCTTGACCCACACTCTATTCTGGTGCTCGGATTCACCAGTGGGTGATGTGAACTGGTTCAACCTGGTCTGCCCCTGACCTGTGCCAAATGTATGCCAGTGGGAAACATCCCATGGCTTATTCTGGCCTGTTTTCTATCATACTTCTTGTGCTTACCTACAGGGATG